ATCACGTGCCAACATCAGTAGTATTTTTACCAGATAAATTTAATAATTGGTATTCTGACTTATATGATGACAAATAACATCAATTGTTAAAAGTTCGTCCTTATTGACGATGGTCAAGACATAGAAAGTAGCATATGAGTTTATGATACTAACTTTATGACCCATCATTCGACTAAGCCTCTCTTTTTCATTGAGATCTCCAGCATGGCGCTGTCTGCTCAGTTCAACCTCTTGCTGCAACAAACCAAGGTCTAACAGTTAGAACTTAATACAAGAAATAAACTTTTTTAAATAAAAAATAACAAATGAAGATTTTGCTCCAACGCGAGATGAAAAATATGCACAAAAAAAAAACAAGTATTTGCATGAGTACAAATAGACATACTTGTTGCTCATGCTCATGAAGAACCCTCTCTTCCACTAGGCGCTGTTGATATGCAGCTTCAATAAGCGGAGCAGCTTCTTCTCTCTTTGCTCTTTCCAAATGGTCCATGGTTTTGGCTAATTTCTGCAGTTTTTTCTCCATTTCCTGCTTCTCCCGGTGTTGTTCTATCAAAGCCAACTCCATCAAGGTTTTCTTAGAAATTACACCCTACAGATAGAGGTCATAGCTAGCATTAGCATAACAAACAAACCAATACCTTAATTGATTGAAGGATTCAACTTACCCCATCTATTATGGGCTTTTTACCCTTTCTCTTAAAGCGCTTTTCAGCTTCCTGAAGTATAGCCTGAGCTTCTTCTTTATCTTTCTCCTCCATTTCCATTTTGAGTCTTTGTTTTTTCCTCAGTTCAACCTCAGTTTCAAGCCGCTTTCGCTCTGCTTCTTCAGTAATTTTAAGCAGTCTTAACCTCTTAGACTCCTCCTCACGTTCCTGTTCAAGAAGCTGTCGTTCTTGTTCCTCTTTCCTCTTCTCAATAATTGATTTCCGAGCAAGAAGCCTCTTATGTTCTTTGGCTACAACCTCTGGCAAAGTTGGAAGCAAGCCTCCGTGTTTAGATCGTTTTGCATCAGGAGGACAAATCATTTGCCTCGCCTTATTCAACTGCTCAGCAAAACTGGCCAAGTGATCCCTCAAGCCATCAGCCTCAAAACTCTGATAGAAACCAAGCAATTGCCATAACATTGGTAAGAGACAGTACTATTATACAGTTAAAATGTCAGGTTCTGAGCTTATATGTAACAAATATAAAATTTCTCCGCCTAAACCATAACAGAAATTTATGTAAGCATCTTAGCCTATGCATTTGATATTGGTGCAAACAAAATAATCTCATAACATGAACAAACCACCCAAAACGAGAGTCAACCAACCATCTTTCTGCAACAGGTGCTACCCAATTCTCTCTACTATTATCATTCAAATGCAACACTCTCTTCAAACAAACAAAAAACATACCTACTGTAGAGAAAGTTTAAAAAAGAAAAATTGAACCAAGATAAACGAAAACATACCGTCTTGCAGAAAATTACAACATTTTTCATGTGGTCAACTTTCATGGACAGAAACTTCTGCTTAACAGCATCTACGGAAATCTTTTCCACAACAGAAAACTCAAAGAAAGGAATCATCCCAGCTAAGTTTTCAATCTTCATCGATTGGTACACATTAGACACCTAAAAGAGGGAGGGTGAACAGGTGTAAGTACACACATAAAACAGTAGGATTAAATAAGTAATCCACAACAAAAACAAAAAACAAAAAACAAAAAGAGAATGCACCTGTTGTAGCAACCTCAAGGTAGCTAACTTTTCAAGTGCTGGGACATACTGCGAAAAATGCACTTCTGGAACCGATGAAGCAAAGGTAAACTTACCCCCTAATTTTGAAATTTTATTTAGCAAGGGTAGTACTTTTAGTGCAAGATCCGATGGTAGAAATTCATGTTCCAAAAGATAGTAAATGTCTTTCACTTCTTGTGAAACACAAGACATTACACCCTTTGATGCCTGCAATTAATCCAAACATAAAGAGTTCAGAGTGAGTCAAAAGAACCTTTATTGCAATTATTATTATGCTACCCCAGAGGTCATCCAAACACACCAGAGTGAACCAGTTGACAATAGGTTCTATACACCACCAAATGGCCGAAGATGTATCTGAATAACTAAATCAGTTACAGGGAAAAGATGTAATAATATAACATCGCAACTAAAGCAATGAAAGACGTAAACTTCAGCATCAGTCTACTATAGAAAATGTTAAAATGATCATATCATCAATGCAAAACATACATCCATAATTAACTGAAATCAAAATACATAGTTCAGGATTTGAAAATCAAAATAACAAAAATTTAATGTGAATACTAAATCATTTAGAGTAAAGTTTAAATAATTAAAGCATGGTAAATAAACTACTAAAGCAATTAGAGAGATATGAACATCAGCAACATTCTAGAAAATGTTAAACTGATGAGATCATATGCATGACACACATGACTTCCATAATATACCGAGATAAAATACAAATTTCAGGATTTGGAAACTGTTTGAAAGATAAGATTCTCAGTGTTTATAATATGTATTGGGGTGCACTTGTATGTAAAGTAATTGTACTGCTGTTACTTGACAGATAAATCAACCAACATAAATATAAAAATTAGATTAGAGTTCACTACAGCAACAAATTATCTCATTACAGTCCCTTTTCCATCTATTCCATGAAATATCGACAATCAGCCTAATGAATATATATATATATATATATATATATATATATGGAGGTTTAAATGAAGGCATATCGACAATCAGACTATTGAAAGTATATGGTGGTTTAAATGATTACCACACAACAAATATTAACAACCAACGCATGGAATGCAAAAATCAAAACATGGTACAACGGAGCTCGGCAAAGTTTAAGATGAGATTATGAGGAAAGAAATTCAATCCAATATTGATCAAAATCAACCAGACCAAACACTAATAGAATATAAAATGTGTACAGTTACAGTCCACGGTTAAGTGGGGGTAGATATCCTATGCATCAGTCAATTTCTTACTTGAAACCCCGCCTTCAACAATACACATTGAAATAACGAATAACTGTAGAAAAGGAATTTATAGAGCTGTGTTTCAAATAATGAGAATAACTTACCAGTTCAGCAAGAAGTGATGACCTTGAGAGCTGGGAAAACAAAACAGAAACAGAAGCAAATTGTAAGACTTGCAAGCAGATATCAATATGCTATAGTGAGTTCAAATGAGGGAAAGTAAAATACCACTTCTCTGCTATCGGGCTTAGTTTCGAGATTAAAGCCTATGAGATTCGCCATCCTCAAATTTCGCTCCTTTTCATGCTCTAGTTCTAAATGAGATGCACCGTGAGTGCGGTCATGAGGAGGCACTGATAGTGCAGCTAGAACAACAGATGAAGCTATCAACTGCAAATCCTTCTGACTCAGATTTTTGTTGAAGCTCTTTTGTAACAAAAAGAGTTTGAACCAAGCGTATGCATGATATAAATGACTTGAAGATATCCAAAATATTTCAGTCAACTTAACATAGTAAACTGTCATCAAAGATGGTTTTGGTGTTTTCTTGACCATGCACATTAACCCATGTATATCTTCAACGGACCTAAAGGCTTCCTGCATGCAACAAATTGTTTCAGGTCGGCCAACATCATTAAAACAAATACCTTAAAGATGTACGAAATTGAGAAGTTTCAAACCTGCCAGAGTTCAAGCTCAGTGGCAATTTTCAGCTGCTCAAATCTTGTATCAAGATACAATTGCAAGCTTTCAGGAGCAGAAAGATCAGGTCGGTCTCGTTGGTCCCGATACTTGTTAAGATTAGCCAAATGATTTCTAATGATTTCACAGAGTCTCCTGAACTCAGTTGTTCTTTTATATTGCTTACAAAACTGGAAAGCTCGGTGAGCTGTCATCTGCGCGTTGCAACAGAGTCTCTACTATAAGTTTTTGACATAAAGCAAGTGTGCATCCTAAATTATTGTTATCACAATAAAATGTACAAGGATAGGAAATGAAAAAGAATAAGTTGATGAGTAACAGCAACAACATATCCCACATGCCAAGCAATTAATTTCTATTTATCGGGAATAACTGTCTGTCACATTTAAATGGCTAAAACACTGGATTTTACATCAACAAGAGAGATAACTTGGAATATAAACATTTCATACTGCAATGACGGCATATATATAAACCATTCTAACAAGACCATGCACACAAAAGTAAAAAAGCTCCATATTAAAATTAAAATTAAAACTAAAAAATATAAAAAAGCAAATAGCTAAGGCAAAGTCGGATAACATCCTCTACTTCAAAGATAAATATCAAGAATATTGATAGATTAAGACAAGAAAAAATTACAGCATATAATGCTTCCAATTTGGAGTTGTTCCGCAATATCTCAAGCACTGTCCTGTAAGTTTCCCAAAGAAACTTAAACCATGGGGTAACAAGTTCCCGATCAGATCGATCCTTTCCCTTCTCACCACTGACATAGCTCAGCATCAAGTCCTCAGGCCTTTTATCCGCCTCCAAGTCATCAACATCGAGGGCCTCTTCTAAGGCCTGAGCCTGGCTGCGTGCTTGCTCAGCTTTCTCTGTTGATAGGTGCATGAAATGTTTAATCACCTCCTCCAGCGAGCTAACATTCACTTGCTGACATATGATACGGTACTGAATAAGCCCGTCCTTAGCAAAACGTCCCTTCCTCATGTCCACACATAGCTCTACGTACTTAAACATAATCCGTTCTAGAGTTTTCTGCCATGCTCGGTATCTTTTCGAAGTTATAAGGTCGTGCAGAGTCTGCAGAGCATCCTGCTTCTGACCGACATTGATCAATTCTGTACATCAAATTATAAGCAATTAAATCAACGCAGCAATAAAAACAAAAAACTAAAATCAACGCAGCAACAAACCTTCTGCCCTTTTGAGGGCATTCTCAGGCTTCAAGAATGACGTCATATTGCAAATTCACGAAATCAAATCCCCTCTGCAATTAAAAAGAACGATAATCATATTTAAAACACAAATAAGATCAAATTTACGCCAAAAACAACAGTAAAACACAAATTCATAGCAAAATTGACTAGAAAAAACGGTAAATCTAGCAGGATTAGAATCAAACTAAGCCGGTGATCTATGTAGCTAATTGCGGACAATAGTGCCGCGATCGCGGAGGTCCAGCGATGCCAGGTGCGGGACAAATCACTGTATCTGCTCTGCTGTCTCATATGCATTTCACGAGAATAACGATGAAAAAAATATGGATAAAGAACCTGAAAAACGAGAGTAGAAGATGAGGATAGTGAAGAAGAGATGAAGAATTGCAGTACCAAGGAGGGTGAATCAGTGGCGTCGTTGATTACAGTAGCGGCTGCTTCTTCTGCTAGGGTTACGAAATGGAAGAACAGGGAATTTTGCTATGTGATTCCGATAAGAAGTGAGACTCTGGGCCCGTAAAGCCCAATCTATTCGTTAAAAAAATGTTGGGCCTGAACCTGAATACTTACGCTTTGAAAAAAAACTAGTTGTCCGAAATAACACAAATATTTGTCCGAAATAACACAAATATTAATATTAAAATACGACTTTTGACCAAAAATAAAAGAATTTAATTAAAAGATGAGTTTAAGTACTGCATTGTGGTTTAAAGTACTGAATTGTGGGTATAAAATGTTTTACACGCTCAGTATACTATAATCTTTAAAAAAAATATTTTATATGTGATTTAAGAAAAAATCAAACTTTTATAAAAATAAATGGTTATGATTTCAATAACAATTTTATATGTGATTTAAGAAAAAATCAAACTTTTATAAAAATAAATGGTTATGATTTCAATAATAATGTAAAATTGTTTTATTCGATCATCCAATTAAAATCAATAATTTTGACACATAAAAAAGAGAGAAACATAGAAGAAGTAGCTATTAAAATAAATTAATTATAATTTTTATTTATTTTTAATTTCATACTTATATGTCAAAATAATCAATTATAATTGAATGACCGTGTATAGGAATAGGAATAGGTTAGATCGTCCTACAAAGACTTATAGCCTAGTATTTTATTTAAGGTCGTGCTATGGCAGGCCTATTTAATAAAAAGGTTAGGCTTAAGCATTTTTAAAAATCTATTTAATTAAATAAATCAGACTTAGGCTATTAAAAGTCTAAAAAGTCTTATAGATCGACATATATTTTCACATTATTAGAATTCATTTGGTCCGACCAGTAATTTATTGATCTGGCCGATAACCAAGTGACCCAAAATCTTGATCGGATCGATGACCGGTTTCAGGGGTCGGTCCTTTGAATTTGGGTGCCTTGGGCGAATCAAAAGAGTGGTGCCTATGACACGGTGGCAGAACCGACTGTTTTTACTGGTTTGCGTTTTTCGTTCGCAAAATATCGCGGTAAGCAAGAGTCGCCACCGACTTTTATTTCATCCAATCATGGAAAAGGAAAAAGAACAGAAAAAACATTTTTTTTGAGATATTCTGAGTACGGGGGTAGATTATAAAAAGGGAAGGTGTTAGCACCCTTTCTATCCATGGTTTTCCATGGGCTCTTAGGTACTTGCTCATCTTTTTAAAATTGCTTGTGTGTGCTTGTTTTTGAAAATGTTTTACTTTGTGATAACCCTTGTATCAGTCCTCAAGAGTGTGACGAAGTTTGTTTTAAAAATTTGTTTTGAAAGGTGTTTGTGTGAAGAGTTTTGTTGAGCAAGTACTTAAGATTCTACCTACTCGAAAAAAGATTGTTCGTTCTCATTTCCTTTAGACAGCGTTATCCTACTATTAAGGAGTAGGTAGCCCCATCGTTGGAGTTTGTAAGGGACGTTCGATAGGGACAAGTACAGTCACCAAAGCAATAGTTAGGAAGCCTTAGTAGTAACCCTAAAGTCTTAAGATCTTTCTGAGGCAACCTTTCTGAGGCAACATTTCCGAGGCAACATTTCCGAGACAACATTCGAATGGGTCATTTTGATCTTTTAGATTGGAGGGCAACCACTAAAATCTCCTATGCTTAATGGTTGTTTTACTGAAGGCAACCGAAGTGAGGCAAACCCTATGAGTGAATGTGTGCATGTGAATTTTTCAGTTATTTAGTCTTTGCACATTAGGTGATCTACCATTTTCATTTCAAGTAATCTTCCCATACAATCCTATTAACATACATCTAAGCAGTTTATAGTTTACGAAAATTAAAGTGCGAGAAAATAAACCTAGCTATTACAAGGCTTCGGCAGTTACATAATCATCTTGACTGAAAATAAAAAATACAGAAGTTTAAAACCCTAATTACTATTACAAACTCTGAGCAGTTACAATTGTAATAAAAAGAATAAAATGCGTGCGGCGAATTGAATACGGGAATGATTGGAAACCTTAAAAATCTAATTGATGAAAATATTTGGGTTATTCTTGAGAAAATACTTAATTAGGTTATGTACAAGTAAAACCCTAATTCTAATTATTTTTAATTATAAAAAGAAATTGAAATTAACCTAATTTAAACTAAATTAAATGATTCAAGAAAATAAAATATTTTATAAAAAAGATTTTAAATGTTTTTTATGGTTTTTATTTGAGAAAAAACAATTTAATTGCAAATTTAAAGCCTAATTTCTAATTAGTTTTATTTACAAAAAATAATTAAATGAACCTAGTTTCTAACTATTTTTAATTATAAAAAAAAAGAAATTAAATTAACCTAATTTACTAATTAAATTAAAATAAATATTTTCTGGAAAAAATGATCTTTTTGTGATTTGTTGATTTTATGATAAATTAAAAAAAGTAATTAATTTTGGTGAAAAATAATTAAACCGAATTAATTAAAATAAAAGAAATAAAAAAAATGAATTAAAAATGGGCTTGTTTGCATTGTTGAAGGAGGGGGTGTATGTTGAATTTTCCAGGCCCATTAGCCATCCAAGCCCAGTCAGCGCTTGGTTCCATGTGGCATTGACTTGAGGGTGTACCATGGGTTATTCATTGCTATGTGTTGGATCTGGAGAGGTTGTGATCCATTGGTGATGATTTGAGGTGTATGGAAGGCGTATACAAGGTTGATGCACCTGATCCTGCACAGTGAAAGCAAAATAAAGAAAATTGTTGGGACCTGGGATCAAACCTAGGTCCTCATACTCCCCACCAACACATTTCACCACTGGGCCATCATGATTTGTTGTACAAATAATGAAAACAAAGTATAATATAAAAAAAACAAGTGGATTAGTGGGAAAACAGAAACGCGCGCGCTGATTTGTATAATCCAATGAGGTGATGAAAAATCTCCTTCTTCTACCTCCAGCCCGTCGGCTTAGGTATATAACCTATACCTACAGACCATGTCCATCGCTAAAACTTGCGTGCTTCAAACATAAAAAATATACACGATAAATGGATTTAAAGACCAGGGGTCGATTGGCCTTGATGCCATTATCATCCCAGTATCCAGTTTTTGGCCTAATTTTTCCTGTATCAAGAAGCCCCAAAACGTGGCTTCAAACCCTAGCCATGGCAATTGTCAGTATACGCGCTAAAACATTAATTAAACATAACCAATATGTTGCAAACATGATAACAAACACATATATGCCATTAAAACATGTTCATGATGCGTGAATCACAGTAATCGAATTTGGAAAAACAAGGCAAACCGTGTGACTGCTACGTGATGATTCTGGACTTGGGGCGACTTGCAATTGATTGGGATACGTTCCTGAGATGTCCAGTAATCTATTGGTAATGTTAGGATGGCTTGAATTGGCCTCTATAATGGAAATCAAACCACCAATTTTCTTTTAAATTTTGAAGTTTGTTCTGGGCTTTTCACGACTGCAACCCTTTTCTTATGCCTTATACATGTTCAATATATATGCTGGAATGAATTAGGGTTATAAAATTGGCTTGAATCTTTTGGAATTAAGAAGATTTGATATGATTTTCATGCCATAGGTAATCTTTCTAAATTGAGCCAAATCATTCCTTTCTTGTACCAATCAGCCTTGATTCGTTTTGGTCTTGATATCTCTGCATAATTTGATTGCAAACCTGTCCAAAAATCAAATCAAAACATATCTTTGTTATTATTCACCAATTATTTGATTTAATTCAATTTTTAATTAATAAAAAATCAAAATAAATTGAAAAATGAAGTAAATAATGTGTGAGTGAATATTTGGGTCGTGGACCATATTATAAGTGAGGTGCAAGCATAAAAAGTCAGGCCTATTTGGCAAAAAATGTAAGTTTGAGCTCATTTGACTTTTGACAATTTTGTAAAAAAGGTCAATTTTGACAAGGCATATCTCCTCCAATTTTAACCCTATAGAGGTGTTCTTGTACTTTTTAGAAAGCTTAGTATGTCCCCTAAGCAACCCTTTTGGTCTCATCTCAATTGAGTCTTCCATGTTCATGTAAGACGCTTTGACCCAAAAAGTGTTTTTGTTGACTTTTCAAAAGGACCCATAATGTAGAAATTCATATCTTTTTATGAGTGCATATTTTGAAGTTGTGGGCTGAAGATGAATTGTAGGGAATTGCATCCTCTTCAAAATTAGCCTTGGATGGAAAAAAATTGATAAAGTATGTGGAAGTTATGCTTGGTCAAAGTTTGGTTGACTTTTCTTAAGAAACCCTAATTTAGCAACTTTTGGGTTTTGATGAATTTGGAGCATTCTTTGAGGAATCATTATCAAACCTTGATAAAATGATGAAAGTCACTTCAAAATGTTGATGTTGACCAAAAATATTGATGTTTGACTGTATGTGGGCCACAGTTGACTTTTGACCTAATATAGTCGATTCTCAAGCATCTGAGTAGTTGATTGAGCAAACTTCTTGTGCAAGGCATGAAACTTGACATGTAGGGTCTTGAGAACATATTAATACCATGGAGAGCATATGAGGCCTTTGGATTCCACCTATCTTGATAAAAATGGAAACCCTAATTTGAGACATACTGCCTTAGGAGAGAGTTTGTCTGGTCAACTCTTGGGCAAACTTGAGCAAATTGAGGATCTCTAGAAGTATGTATTGAGTAAAATGAGAGGGAAAATTTTAGGGTACAACAGTTGCCCCTGTTCAATCTTCTTAAACCTAAGGATGTAGATTGGCTCGTCTGTCTTTCGTGATCTGAAGGTGGAAGATGATTGAACACTAGAGTGCCCAGAAATTTGCACTCGCATGAAGTAATACTTGATTTGTGATATTGGGAATGGGTTTATAGATGCCATTTGGAAGTTGCTATAGAATTGTCGGAGATAGGCTTAAATATGCCA